TTTCATATCTATTTGTGTATGGTTAGATAAGACTCTGTGTCGGTGCCAATAGATTCCATTCTCCACCATTTTGTTCTTCCACCAATAATATGCCCCACCTATTTAATGAACTCTTGGCTTGATTTGACACTTGAGTTGCACAGAAAGTGAAAGCTAAAATTATTGTTTTGTTCTTATTGTTGTTTGCGTAGGGTGTGTCAGATCCTCATTCTGCAGGTAGTGAATCACTATGAAGTTTTTCAAAATCTTTTTTTGTTTATTGATAGCCAACATCATAAAAGCTCATATTCTCCAATGACTTCTTTAAATATAGTGATAATCCAGTTTTATTTGTTTAATCATAGTACATACAGTGAATTTGTGTACTGTTTAAATGAACTTATATTACGAGATTGGTAAACTCAAACATACTTTGAGTGTGAAACTTAACAATCTTGTTTTGTTAACTGATATTCCAGTTTTACTTGTTTATGATCATGGTGCATAAATGTATTGTTGTACTGATCAAATGAGTTAATAATGTGAGTGAAGCTTTTGGTTTCAGACTCGTACGTACCTGCGTCATTCTCTCTCTTGCAGTATTCCATCAGCCTTGACCTTGCAGTCATTAAATCAGTGGCCGCAGCACTTTCTATCTTGGTGGTAATCCAGTCAGTTGCAACATACAAACGCTTCTCAAAATCCTTCAGACAACAGAAACACAAAACAGTTTTTCTACATATACTCTTGAACAAGAACATATCAGTGGTGTATGTGTGTGATCTGCTCTGGAACTTACCTGGTTTTTCTCAATCAGTTTGTATTGAGGACATAGCTTCTGACTGCAGAAGTCTTGTCCTCTGCAGAATGACACCAGAACCAGAAGAGACACAAGCAGGACCAGTGGCTGCTCCATCCTCGCTGACTTTCCAAAGGCACTCCACAGGTCCAGCAGTAGACTGCAGCTTTTGACTGACTGACGATGTCACTGCTCAAGTTACCAGTTTATCAGGTCACGCAGTCACTCCCACATTGTTCTTATCCCCTGGAAGGCAGACGGGGGACGTCACTTTGTCACACACAGTTTCACACACAGTTCTTTTTGGAAAAGATAGTGTGTACTTCCTTGAGTGATTTCTTGTTTTCATGCAGATTTTGGGTTTGTAAAAAGTGAAAGTTGATACTCCTCACCTTTTATATGTCACCAAACTCACTTCCTTGTTTCTAGTGTTGAATATACATGCGTGTCTTATATTTACTTTCCAAAAATGTTGTTCTCACTGGAACAAGTTGCCTTGCAATTTTCACTTTCTCACATAGTTTTGTTTTTCAAAACAATGCCTTAAAACATTGCAACATGCATCACAATTTTCTAGAAAAGCAAAATTCTGGAGGGGCTGATATTGTCAATATTTTAGAGACTTATCATGAGGATCATGTTTTCAGGGGAGCTAAAGTCTTGGTAGGAGCAACCAAGCTCTCCTGGCTCCCCTATAGTCTGCACCCTGTCTCTGTTGATCCCTTACTCTGGAAATAAGCAAGCATTAGATAATCATCATCAAAACATACAATCAAAGTTAATATGAACTGCTCCCTTTGCCACTGTGACGCTGTATACAAACCTAAAAGAGGACTTTGTTAATTTGTCCTCCTCTCTGACTGTTTGGCTGACTAAACTACGCAGAGCAGCTGATAAGGTTGAACACTGAGCACCCAACATATCATAGTTCTACTTTTTTATGAGAAAACATCTGACACACAGACAGACTGTCTCATTTTTGTGCTGTGTGTGACTTTTGGTGTCATTCAACGTGCCTGAGGATTGTGCAGATAGGCTTAGAGTTTGTTCCTTCTGTCAATTTTTTTTTTTCAATTTAGCTTTTCGTTTTTGCCCCACTAGCAGTGTTTTTGGTCTAATATGTCTCAACAAATATTGCACCCTGAAATTTTGTAACATGACGTAAGTTGCTCTCATTGGCTGCACAGTTTCAACTTGTTTGTAGCAGGAAACAATGGCAGCTCGCCTGGTCACACACAATCTCATATTCCAGCTAAACAGTACACTAAAATATGTTTCTGAAACGATTTTAAGTGAGAAATAGGCAACGGA